TACAAATATTGTAATCACTATTGTGGTTCCAGATAGGAGTTTTTTGGGGATAGGGACCCTTTGTGTGTGTGTATAAAAAATATTACCTATCATCTGCTTCCTGTCGACTATCCAGTTACAATTAATGATTGCCCAAAGTTTCAGGTAACTAGTTTCCTTTTGAAGAAAGTCGCTAAGTGAGAGGTAAGAGATAAAATGTCGCTTAGTCAAAAGACGCCGATAATAAGCAAATGAGTGCATAGCGTAGCAATAACTAATTACTTTCTAGCAGGCTTCTTTTAGTCGCTGGCTTATTTCTCTGAGGACCTCCATAATTACTGATAAACTGTCGGTAAACTGCAAAACAAAATTATTCATTTCTAACATGTGTGACACAAAGCTGGACTTGTTTTTGTCAAGGAATTGAGCAGAAGCACGTATTACGTTTCGGTTTGGAAATTCTAAAGAAAAAAGTTCCCTAATAATTCTGAAAGTTTTTTTCAATCAAAGCTGCTGCTGATTTTGGAATATTATTGTTGTTGAAAATCTCTAAATGTTTAAAATTCAGACGGTCATTATAACGTTTGTAGGATCTTTTTGTATTTTATTTACTGCACCCTCGCTCTCCAAGAATTATGGAACATCCAATAGTATGTTAAGTATCGAACAGTTTTTAACTGGAGATACATTTCCTTTATTTCACTGAAAAAATGTGTGCTATTGACACAAACTTAAATTAAAGCTATTTATTCTGGCTTTTCCAGTCTTCAACGAGGGATTACAATATGGCAGGGATTTCATATTGCAATAATATGACCAATATTTCATATTGCAATATTATTGGACCTAGGCAAAAAAAGTAACATTAAAATTTGCATACAAAAACGAGGGGGGGGGACTAGTCACGAAAGGAAAACTACACTTGTTGTGTGGAAAAGAAGTTTGGTGCAAACAAAAAACAAAATTTATGAAAAACGTGTAGATAGAAGATTTTGTACCTAGCAAATCAACCTGCCGATAAAATCTTACTAAAATTCGCCACATCATTCAGATGGATCGGAGACAATCCATTCTGGTGACCATCCTGAGTATCTAGTAGGGCATTTTGGTGAAAATACTGTGTGGTTTAGGCGCTAGTATCATTCACAGAAGGACGGACTGACAGACGGTTTGAGAAAAAATGCATATTTCGTTACCTTTTAATATATTTAAACTTCGGAACGGAACATTTCAGACACGATATATGTTGTTGGAATAATCTTTCTTAGTTCTCATTGCTTACAAAGCAATGTAATTCTACCCATTTCTATGACCACCGGACCATCGACATTAATTATTTGTTAAACTTAGCGCCCCTCTTTTTTTCGAGGACTTTTTCCAGCTTGAGAGGATGCCGATTTTGGCTATGCGCGCCGGGTACCCACTATGTCTTTCATATTAACCTTTACCCTAGACATTGACACACTTGCGGGCTCCTCGGTCTGAAGTCAGCAGACTCACAAGGCCTTCTGCAACTACACACATATTCGTACATGAAAAGGCAAGGGATAAACAACCATGGTTACGGCGGGACTCGCACCCGCGACCTGATCAAGGCGCACACGCTCTAGCCACCTCGGCCATCCAGGTCGGCGTCAAACTTACCCACTTCCGAGGCTTCGAAATACCGTCCTTTTTATCTCACTTTTTATTTTGTCTAATACAGTGCAGCCTTCGACTTGTCACAAGAACCTCATCGCAGACGTCTGAACTCTGGTAAAATCTTTCTTTTTCATGGTCCACGTCTCGCATCCATATAGAAGTATGGGAATAGCCATTGTTTTTATAAAATTTAAGTTGTGTTTCCTTTCCTGCTTTATTTCTCTTTTTATTGTTCGACAGATATCTTAGAATCTTCGGGTTTTTATTGAAATATCTTTATTAAATTCAAAAGTAATATCACAGCCTAAATATCTAAAATAGCTATCTTGTTCTATCATTTTATTAATTATCTTACTTCACATATGATGTTTGCCTCCAAACGTCATGACTTTTATATCATTCACATAAGTTATTTAGTCCATAGAGAGACCTCTGCAACTGATCCTCACTTTCCTGGATAATTATCTGATCGTCTTCAAATAATAAAGTATTTACAGTGGTTTCGGAGTCCATCTCGACGCTATCTACAAGTATATTACACTGTTTCTATTCTCTCAGAACGTCGTCTACATAAATATTACATAAACTTGGTGATATGCTACAACCTTGTCTAACACCTCGATTAATTTTAAATTCCTCGGATAATTTTTTTCATTTAAATTTAATACATTTCTAGTTCTGTGGTATAAGGATTTGATTACTTCAATTAAATGTAGTGAAATGCCTCTTTTATTCATAATCTTCAATATCATATGTCGATACACCAGTTCGATTGCTGTCTGATCTATGAAAGCGATATGAGTTTTCTGAATAAATTCTACTCTCTTCTGTATAAGTAAGTTAATGAAGAATATATCATCGACACACGATCTTCCTTGCCTAAATCCACGTTGTTCCTCTAACAAAATATTATCTAGAAGAGTTATGAATCTGCTATTAATAATTTTAGTATATATCTTGTATGACGAATTTAGTAAGGTAAATACTTTATAATTCTGTAGTTTATTTCTATTTCCTTTTCTGAATAGTGATATTACCTTTGCTTTTGTCCATTCTTCTATAATCGCACAAGTCTTCCAGCAGGTATTCAATAAATTAAGAAATCTAATTTTTAATGAGGTATCAGCGTATTTAATTAACTTCAGATTAATCCCATCACAATCTGGCGCTTTTCGATTTTTGAGCTTCTTTAGCGAGTCAACTAATTTATTCTTATTTATTCATTGTACGTTACTTATTTCTGCCTCTTCCACATTCGAGGCGTAGGTACCATAAACGTTTACAATAATCCAGCCCCTCTTTCTTTTCTGTACCTGTATTTGTAGTATTTCATAAAATTCTTCCGTGTCGTCTGTTTTGCCTTCTTCTTGGGCTTAAACTCTGATTACGGTTAAATGGCCTCTTTCTATTTGAAATATTATCAGGATCCGGTTACTAAGTAGGTATAGCTGTGTATTTGTTATCCATTTTTTATCAATTAAAATAGCTATTCCACTACCGGCTCTTTCATTTTGAGGTTCTCCATTGTAAATTATATTCTATATCTTTTGTTTCTTTGCACTTCATCTTTGTTTCTAATATTATGGCTGTAATAATTTGTTTAAAATTAAGTTCATTTTCAAGTTCCTTTTCTTTATTTTTTATTCCTCTGACTCTCATGTTAAGTCTATCGTGTATTCCCAGTCGCGTGTTCTTTTTTTGCTATAGCCGTCAACATCGTGTTTACCGGCTCGGCTTCTTGAAGAGTGTCAGTAACTTTAAATTCCTCATGTTACAAGCCTATTGATGGGTACGTCTAGTGATCGGGCTACTATCGTAATGCCTCTAGACATGTATCCTCAATTAAAAAAATTGCCTCTTCCGACAGTTATGTCGTTCTAGAAGTCTCCTCTTTCGCCCTATTGCCGTTGGGGTCTTCTCCTTTACCCTGGCAAGGGGCCCTCACGAGGTAGTACCAGCCGGGCCAGCTGGACCAAGGTGTTTTAATGTGTTACTCGTCAATCTCCTGTTTTGTCTCCGTCAACCCTGTTTATCCTGGCTTGTGGCAGGTAGAGCCTGGTTTCCCTACTTTGGACCCAGGTTTATTTATTTATTATTATTATTATTATTATTATTATTATTATTATTATTTATTATTATTATTATTATTATTATTATTATTATTATTATTATTATTTATTTATTTATTTATTTATTTATTATATTGGGCAGACGTACCTACAGTTCTAGCACATGTCTAACTGGTCATATGAAATATAAATACACATTATTAGGTGGGTTTATTGTCAAGAACGCGGGCAAAGCACACGAAACTCTTGTGAAGCAAACATCGCAAATTTAAATTCGAGTATTTTTGATAAAAAGTTAATTCCTAATCGATATTTATCTGGCGTAGGGCCTACATTATAATTTTAATAATTTTCTTAGTTGTTTCATTGCAGATATGAAGAGATTATATTATTATTATTATTATTATTATTATTATTATTATTATTATTATTATTATTATTATTAGCTTATTTCCCGCAACGCTTCCACGCTTGTTCGTTAAACGCACGTATGTGCGTTTTGTTGCACTTATGTGTTAAACAACCTTTGGTAAATGTTAGCTTTTGTTACCAGATTTAGTTGCATAATTTGAAGGTATTTGTAATATACGTATATGCGTATTTGCAATCATTCGCAATACTTTTATAATATACACGTTATATGAATTTGAAAGAAAAAAAAAGTTGTGTAATTAATTTATTTTTTTTTTATAAAACGTATGTAACATGCAACGACGTATCCACTGTAGCATCGGTTAAAACTACATGTGCTACCATTTTGCACGTTTATCATCTAGTTTACTTGAACTCCGGCAAAGAATATACATTATCATGATGATCGTGAAGTGAAACGATCTCTTTTTGGATTTTTTTTTTCTTTTCGTGAAAAAATAGGTTAGGATGATAGTTTGAACTTTATTGAAGTTATCTTAACAGACGAAATATTATTTCGAAAAATGTATGAAGTAGTGTGAGTCAAAGTCAATAGCATATTTATTATTTTAGGAAAAAATTAACTAGCTAAAAAATGATGTGACTGTCTAGTTTTAAATTACGTGAATTTTCTACTACTTATTTTGGCGGCAAAATGTTTTCATAGTTTTCGCAATACTACACTCATTTTATGATGTTAGTTCCAATTTGTACCAATAGGTGTTGCTGCTCCTTTTTGTGTGTATGTGGCTTTGCAAACTCCATGGAAGCAATAAACTTTGTAATAAATACAATTAATTGACCGTCATCTGCGCTCTGCTGCGCTGATACACGGAAAGTACGGCGTTCACGAGGTGAACGACCGTCGACATTGTTGCAAGCATAGTACATCTGAGCACGTTTGTTCGGAAGAACTAACGGATCAGAGTACAAAAGAGTAATAGATCTGCCCTATTAACCTTTGATGTTATTAATAGCTAGTATTTCGTAGCATTCGATTTATATATATAGATAACGGTGCCGGGAAGGATATAACCCCTATTCTGCGTTAACACGTGTCGGAGAGTTTGCAATTATTTATTGAGAACTCTTCGTTGGAGGTTAGCTACATTGAATAAATTAGTCTTCGAAATTTTAATTGATTAATAAACTAATTTGGTTATCGTCAAACGGCGAACTTCCTATCTTATTAATTGGCTAACATGGCGAGGCGCGAGAGACGGCGTCTGTGCAAATTTATATCGGACTGGACTACGTCAGATGAGTTTTCTTCTTGGTTAGCTCCGGTGAAAGGTGAAAAACACAAAGCATATTGCTTGCTATGTAAAAAGGAATTCGCAGTCAGCCACGGTGGATTGAACGATGTGAAGGCACATTACAAAGGGAAAAGACATATTTGGCTTCAGCGTCAACAAGAGAAAATAGCTGCTGGGTTGTCGAATCAGTGGAATAGTCCTGAAGATTCTTGGGTGAAAGGCATATTTTATGAGCAGGTAGGCATAGCGTCTGCTTTGATACCCGTGCAATATGTTTACATATTATTTCTGATAGGAATAAATTGGTTAGATTGGAAGTAGATGTACCATATATGTCATCGGAATTTCCTAAATGATATGGTATACGCCATTTTCATTTTTATCCAAAATTGATATTAAGATCGAGTCAAACGATGGAGGAAATTGGAGCAGAATTCCGGAGGCTGGCAGATATTCGTGAGTTATTGAGGCGTAACATTCGTACGAAGAATATTATTTAATATAAAATAAGTACGTCGTTCTTACCGCTTTAAGTATGTATTCCCTAAAAAATTGTAATGTGGAACAACATCCGAGGGCGTCGAAATCGAACTTTCTAAGATATTTCTAGGTCAATTACAGTACCGTTACCTCGTCAGCAGTTTTATTAAATTTTTTAGCCCAAGCCGCCAGTAGTTGTCGGTTCTCTTGAAATATGTTAGCGTGCATGTGAACTTCAAGTAATGTATACTTGTGTATTTATGCTGTAATTAAGCGGTAATATGTGAACTTTTTGGTAGAAGACTATAAAAATTTTGTAATTTAGTTGTATTCTCAATTATACTTGTGCACATGTGGGAATTGTTACTTGTGGAGTTTGAATATCTGCAAACAAATTGTTTTATAGTTTAGTTCTAAAGGATTAAGTTTTGATTTAGATACTTAGAGTGATTGGGAATCTTGTATTCTTCCTTAAATATAATGTTCTCTTTTATACAATAATCAAAATTTTTGCTATCACTTGGATACATAATTAATATGATTTTGTTGAGTTTTCTTTATTATTTTTTTGTGAAAATATTATTTTTTGATTAGTACTAATAATTAAGTTAAAAGAGTTAATGAACATTTAACATAGATTTTTATTGATACATGCTTTGGGGCTTCATATTGATTGGTAATTGGAATTTGGATATCATTTTGGGTTGATGAGAGTTAATAAACAGATGGATGAGATATAGTGAACATCCTTCTTAATTCAAATAACTGAGAATTGTGAGATGTAAACCTGGTTTACATGTCTTTGTATGATAATCAGCTAATTGTGTAAGTAGAGATTCACATATTTCATTGTGTATGATGAACTTCTTTCAATATGTCTGAGAAGAAGCTTTATCATTTAGGTTCACTCTTTGTATCTTTAAATATTGTGCACTGTTTTTATTAATTTTTAAAACTTTTTTTTTTAATGTTCATGTAGTGAAATGGTTGAATCAGCAATGCATTGGGCGAAAAATACAATTAACATTAGTAATTGTTTAATAATTTGAGCTAAGTTAACAACTATTCAGAGAATTTTCTTTGCCAGAGTTTAGATTGTAGGTTGGTTTAATGTTTATTGAAAAGTATTTAACTATAATCTCCTATTTTTAAGGTTAATGCAGATCAAGATACCTCTTCTGATAAAAATTCATTGACCTGTAGTGGAAAGAAAGCAATTGACTGTGACACATCTCCAACAGTGTGGGATATTGGGTTTAGTGCAGATACATCTGATCAAGAAAACTGCGAATTGTCTGACACCATGAACATGCAGCAGAAGATGCTGCCGCAGCAGTATTGTCTGAGATGGAAATACCATCACAACAATCTGCAGGTGATGTTCAGCCAATTGCTTGAGAGGGAAAGCTTCTGTGATGTGACGTTAGCATGTGAAGGAAAGACATTGAGGGCACATAAAGTAAGTTATTGTTTAATGTAAAGTTAATAAAATAACAACAAATTATCCAAGTTTCACACATTTTTGTTTTGTTTTGTAGGTTGTTTTGTCTGCTTGCAGCACATATTTTGACTCAATTTTTTCCCAGTATGAAGAGAAAAATCCAATTGTTATATTAAAAGATGTTAAATTTACGGACATTAAAGCTCTTGTTGAATTTATGTACAGAGGGGAAATTAATATTGATCATGTGAGTATTTTTTTCCTTTCTATTAATTTTTTGAAAAATGAATGAAATTAATAAAACAGATTTTGGTACTTTTGGTAACAAAGAATTGTGAACATGTGCCTTGAATTCGGACAATAACTCTCACTTGAATATGTTGTAGTCTCATTTGGCCTCCTTGCTAAAAGCAGCTGAAGATCTCCGCATTAAGGGCTTGGCAGAGGTATCATGGCGGTCTGGGGAAGGGAATCAAACAGCAGAGGAGGGAGTCAATTGCACTGAAGGAGCTGCTCGTGTAGAATCGTCCTCTGTTCCTGAAGTAGAGCAGGAACCTCCAGTGAAGCGGAAGAGGGGGCGTCCTCCCCTGGACAGTACTCCTTCCTCCTTCAGCCCTAAGGTCATGAGTGTTACTGGAGGTGTGTCTGCAGAGGAAGCCTTTACGGTGAGTGGGTTCTTTAAACAAGCTTAGATTTGTATGAACATGCTTATGTTTTTTGCTAATTGTTACTTAAAAAATATTATAAATTTGCTTGCAACTTGTTTGTTTGCCTATATGAAGGTTTCTGTATTAGGAAATTAAAATATAAAAATAAAAAATAAAAAGGAAAAATTTGTAATAATTTTTAACAACTTTAGTATTTGTTACTAGAAAATGAAGTTAAAACATGTTAGGGAATAATAGCAGAAAAGAACAGAATTTGTTTGAAGTAAACATACAAGTACATTTGGATTTGGGGAAAGTTGTGATTCAAAAAAGACAAATTCCAAAATTTAACCTTCTTTTGGGTGCAGTGTATCTGAGAGAAATACACTAATTTATTTCTTAACATATTTCCTAATTAGCAATGTTACAACTGTCATAGGAATTCAAAGTACTTTCCTAAAATTTATTATTTTCTTTACCAGTCAACATTAAACCATGATGTCAGATTTTTGTCCAGATATTTGTGTGTTGAACCATAGATACATCAGGCACGTTTGTCCTAATTAGATTTAATTGTATAAGTGCTTAAATGTTTATTACAAAGCATTAAGAACAATTTTTTTCAACTTACGTAATCCCTAATACATTGAAGAACTACAAAATATTTTGTGTGATGATAATAAAGTTGGGAAAAATAGACAAAGTTCTTGACCATAGTGCCACTGCCAAGCAGTTGTGGAGGCACAAAAGGAAGATTCTATTATTAGTCAGTATGGTAGTGATTTTATTTTTGCATTCGTTTTTTATTATACTTTTTGTTTTTTTGTTTTTGTAAATTGCTACACACAGTAAAATCAAATGCTTATTGTAATGGTTGATTTGACACAGTATGATCTATGCAATGAAATCTTTCAGAAACATTGAACCTGACCATTGTTCAAAAAGTATTGTGTCCGACTAACAGTGGAGATAAAGGCTAGAATGATAGAATATGTAAAGGACAGAAGTAAAAACAGAAAAAAAAAACTTGTTGTGGAACATAGTGATGTTTTATATTAGATTAGTATTAATGAAATTGAGAGAAGTTATCTTACACTCACTCAAATTAATTGTATTTTGTGATACTTAGCTCATCTATAAATGTTAAGTGGCCTTACTACCTCCTCATAAGTTTATATCTAAATAATTTTTGTTTACTAAATCCATATCATGCACTGAACTTAACTTTTACTGCTTGTTTTCTGGCCTTTTACCATTTCTTTTCATATTTTTTGTGTATTTTTGCAATTTATTTGTATTATTGGTGTGGTAATATAAACATATGAGGTGTAAGCAGCTTCAAGTGACATTAAAATGTATTTGGATTTTTTCCTCCACTTCTAAAAAGGGTTTTCAGTGGATTTTTTATAGTTAAGGAAGTTTCTCTATCGTAAGCAGACCTAACTTGTAGTAGCTGGAACTTTGAATTTGAGCAAGACTTAAATTTTGAGTCAATAATCAGCTTTCATCACTGTAGTGGGATATCATTTCTATTTGGTTATTTTTAAATGTCAAGATTTCAGATTCAATGAATTCAATAGAAGGGATAATTGAAAGATTCCAATTTGCAGGAGCCTATACATTAGTACTTGAGATCTCTCTTGGACTTAGGGTTCCAGTTGTACTTCACATTTTATTTTCAAGAAAGTAGGATCTCTAGTTTTGATGGTTTGTGGAGCATAATATAAACATCCATGAAACTTACATTTAGTACAAACTGGTTGTAAGGTTACATTGAAGATTAAAAATATTGCTGGTCCACAAAACACCATTGTTAGAAGAATGCGTTTCCATCCCTGATTTTGTGGTATTGACATTCATATAAAATTCACATTTAATACACAGCAGAAGCTCAACAGTAAACTTAATATTTTTGGATTAGTATTCGAACTGGTTGGCAAAACATTATTCAAGGTACTCTAGCCTCAGAACTGAGAAAGAGTGAGGCATGGCATAGAGAGAGAGGCCACCAAGAGCCACACAACCATGTTTTTTCCTTTCTTCCTTTGTTTCTTTTCCATGTGTTTGTTTATTACTCTGCCCAAGTTTCTTTTACCTGTATGGTGTGTGTGCGTGTGTGCATTTTCTCTCTATTGGTGTCATGCCGTGCTGTTTGCTGGCCTCTTCCAACGTAAAAAAATTCAGTAAATGATGTACTGTATACAAAATTTGTGCTTTCTGCTATTGAAATTACCCAACTCCCATGTAGTGTAAACTCATTTAAGGTTAAAAAATGTTGGTTTCTAGGATTTCACCAAATTGAGGTTTCAAAGAATAATGAATTGAACTTGCTATCCAAAATAATGATTTTGAAAGCATGTTTTTCTTATAAGTTTCTTTATATTTAGTATAATGTAAATTGGTTCATACATTCAACTGCACTGACGTTCAAGCATTTACTAACATTTGACCTCTTTTTCAGTGTACCTAACATCAGTGAATGTGAAAGACTTATTCAGGTGCCAGGCAGTGGTGATTGTAATTTTAAACACACATTCAGTTGTTGTTTTTTTTACTGGTTATAATAAGAGGTTTATTTTGAAGGATTGTTGTAGTTTTTAAGTAATTATAATTACATAATTTGCCCAAGGTTTAATGAACTAATCATTAACTAATAAGGTTATGATAAAGTAATTAATTTATCATTATGACAAGTATAATAATAATTATTATTATTTTCATAATTTTTGGATAAAAAAGAAATACTCTTTCGATGAGAAAAAAAAATTATAGAAGTGGAAGGACTCAACTACTTGTCTAATCATGCTGTTAACACTTACAATTTTGTTTTTTTATTAAAAATTAATCATTTGTATGTAATTATTGTTTTAGTATGTCAGAATAATTTCGTGTATCTACAGTTATTGTGTCCACAGCTTTTTTTAAATTTTATATTGTAATTTACTACATATACACATGTACTTTAATTCTGTGGTGTGAGTGTGGTATTTTCTGTGCAGCAGGAGGGTGCTGCTGCATCTGATGTGGATGGAGATAACGATGTGAAACCGTGGGAGGCGCACGATAATGAGATAGTATCTCGGGATTCGGCTTCTGAAAGTCACAATGCCCAGGTGAGCTGACTTGCATCAATAGGTAGAAACATATATTTATTTGAAAAAGGACTGAGAAGCTGATGTTAAAAGTGAAGATATTGATAAAACTAGAATAATGAATATTTAATTATAATATTTATTGCGAAAATTACCTTTAAATATTTACATATACATTCTGTGACTATATTATGGTGACCACCTGCAAAATTTAATGTCTTTTTAAGTTTCTGTGCTTTCCCCTCATGTTTTAAGAGAAAACTTCTACGTAACTAAATAGATGTTATTTAGTAGTAGCAGGTCTTTCGTGAATATGTCAACAAGTTTTTTTCTTGATTTTATGAGTGAAAGTCTGCGTACATAATTTTCTTGTGGAATAATTGTGTTAATTGCAATAAATGCAAGTTGTTTCAGAACATTTATCAGTAATTTATTGTTTTATCTTTGTTTTTCTTAATTTGGTTATTTTTGTTCAACTTTTATATTTTTTAATAACTTTTTGTGCAACTTAATGTTTATCTATTCATGATTTCATTGCTCCACTTGGGTAGCCATTTGTAACATTCTTACCAACTCGGCTGATGTTTTATTATTTGATATCTTCATATATTAACCTTCTGTAAGATGGATGATCGTTTATGACTTCCTACTTTCTACTGATATGGACAATCCAATTGTTTTTATCCAAATTACTTTGTTGCCCTTCTATGCTCACCAATTCCTTGAATATGGAATAACCTTTCTCAAAATTATTCTGCGTACGTGACTGACCCTTGCTAGATATTGGGTGAAACCCCTTTACACGACTATCTATTTGTAATTAACTTATTATTATTATTTCCTCCCCATCTACACAGCTATCCTGACATACACCCCTTCAGAAAATACGAAGGGTATTCAGCAAAATCTAATAATTACTTTCAATCAAGCAAATCATAATTACGATTCAACATTAATAACACATTAGAACATTAACTCTCTTCAATGCCGATGTATCAAAAACTAACCCTCTGGTATTCACCTCGCTATCTTTTACCAATAACCCCAGCCTATACAAACAACTAACATTGCAACACAATGGTCAGTTAGATGTGTTCAGCTTGCCAGTTTTCGTGAGATTGGATTTTTTGTACTTCCATCAAGATCACGACTTACAAAGCCTACTTTCCATTTATCACATCTCATGTATTCAGTGCCATGTCCAGCGCTGTGACATGGAATACTATACCCCCCCTTTTTTTTTTCTTTCTTTCTTTCTTTCTTTCTTTCTTTTTTTTTTTTTTT